TGTGTTCATCCAGCTTTACACCTTGTTATCTCAGGTATTAAACCCAGTCTGTTACTGACAGGCCCCAATTCAACTGATCCACACAGAGTGTTAAAATCGGCAAATCTGAATGCTTTGTTAAGCCCCAAACAATTAAATGAGAAAGAAAAGGGAACTCATTGGCTTATTTCAGAGCAGTATCTCAAATAACGACCTGATTTTCCAAAAGTCTTCGACTCAGACACACACACATGACACTAGAACAGGATCTATGTCACAGCATTGGATGATACTGAGCCCAAACACCCTTCATTAACTGCTATTGTTCTGCTTTTGCAATGACAAAACATCCCTCCCACCACAAACAACTGATTTGAATTAGGTGCATCTTTGAAAGAGAGATTGGGGCCAGATATAAAATCAAAAAACATGAAAACGGAGAAATTGGGTGGAATTTTGTGCCCCATACTCTCATCCAGCAATCATTTTGGGTTTACTGCCTACTCATCTCCTTTGGTGTTTTGCCAGTGTTGGTGGGGGAGATGTTGGATGGCCATTCCCGCACCCCACCGCCGCACACCGCCCCCCCCAACCCTGCCCAACCCTTGAGCCAATTGAAGTCCTAAATTGGCCAATTAATAGCTGTTTAAGGCCCTCATTCCTTCGCAGCTTCAGGACGAGGCTGGGAATAATGTGGTGAAGACCTGGTTGCATTAAACTCTTATAGGGGCTGCCATGGGGAAACCTCGTGGTCAAGCACCCCATGCCCGATGGACAGACACCTCCATATGTGAACCCCCAATCCCTCCCAGACACTGAGTTCCTCCCTGACGTCCTGTCGGTAATCCCACCAGGGGCATGACTGGCTTCAGTTGATCAAACTTCTTTGTAAGCTGATCCCCCCTGGCAGTGGACAGTTGTTGGCCATCTGGGTGGTTGGTAGCTCTTGGCGGTTGGGATTCCTTGCAGATGGGAGTGGAGGTCCTGCCCTGAGCCAAATAGCAGCCCGACAACCATAAAAACAGTTCGGGACATACCTGGCGAGCGGAGAGAGGCTCTGACCTGGCTTTCAAGTGGAGGGGAGGGGCACAGGAGTAGGGTCCCTCCTCCATGTAAACATTCAGCCTATTTGATAGCTGATGTCATCAATCTGTGGATTGGTAAATCAAAGGAAAGTTGTTGGCTAACTTTGATTTGCGTTGGTCTCAGTTGGTTTTGTGTTGATGACAGAACATTGGAGTAGGAGGAGGGAATTCAGCTCCTGAAGCCTGTTTGTGTCTCAACTCCCGAATGTCTGAGCTCTAACTTCCAGACTATGCCTCTGATTGTAGGTTTCCCTACAAGGGGTAATTGTTGCCCTCGCTCTAAAACGTTTAATTATATTTAACATTCCAACCTGTTAATTTTCCAAACTCAAGTGAAGATGAGCCTAATCTACACAATCATTCCTCACAATGTAACTCTGGCCCCCTCTCCTGTACTGAGTGATGATCCTTTCTGACACCCACCTGCCCTTTTCTCAGCCCACTTCAGCTTCGCTAAATAAAAATAAAAGCTAAAAATAAAACTTGGCAATAAATCTCAACTGGTTTTTGTGCTTCACGTTGGCAGCCTCTATTCTCATTCATCAAACAGCAATGTCTACTCGCTACGGAATACTTTAAAAAGGTTAACATATGAAGAATGTTGACTGAGTCTTGAATGTTGAGGGAGTCCCTGTGGAATACTGCTATTAATTGCTCGATGCAGATCAGACAATGCCTGGACCAAGGAAGTTGATTAATTAAGATAATTTTATTCATTTCCAAAATAATTTTGCTGAAGCACTGTTTTTATTCCTTCACAAACAGAATAATGCTTTATTATGAATCACAGTTCTATCTGAATATCAGGGTGGCAAGTACAGGTAAGTACATGTCTATTCAGAAAGACATCTTTCTCCGTCTCTCTCTATTAGTGAGACAACTGGTTATATAATTTCTGGAACATCACTTCAAAAAACATTCTCTAAGGTAAGAAGGGACATGTCCATAAACCAAACTTTGAGAAGTCTTGATGCCAGAGTAATGAACCTGTGATGTGGAGATGCTGGTGTTGGACTGGGGTGGATAAAGTCAAAAGTCATAAGATAGCAGGTTATAGTCCAACAGATTTATTCACAATCACAAACTTTCAGAATGCTGCTCCTTCGTCACCTAATGTCATGACTTTTGACAGAGCAATGAACTATCCTTGCAAAATAATGTGGCATATTGTAAACTTCATAAAAGTCAGAAGTAACATTAAAAAGTGAAATTAGGTTAGTTAATATACCGAAAACCTTTTTTTCTTGAGGAATTAAATCCTTATGAGTTGAAATATGAAATTAATAAATGTCTTTAAAGAAAAGCTGTTCGAAAGCAACATTCTAGACAACTCACAATCAAATAGATTCTTTGTCACTAAATGGCTGACAAGTAAATGCAGATGACAAAGTTCCTCATACTCAGAGAACAATTGGTGCAATATCTTACCCGGCCTTAACTCTTCAGCACTCTCAGTCATTCCACAGTCCAAGGTGAAACCAAAAGAACTGCAGATGCTTGAAATCAGAAACAAAAACAAAATAGGTGGAAAATCTTGCAGGTTTGGCAGCATCTGTGGAGAGAAATCACAGTTAACATTTCGGGTCCAGTGACCCTTCTTCAGTTCTGAAACGTTAACTCTGATTTCTCTCCACAGATGCTGCCAGACCTGCTAAGATTTTCCAGATATTTTTGGTCTTGTTTCTGTAATCCAAGGGATTGTGAGAGTCTGGGTGCTTCAACTATCTTTTAGGCCTAACACTCATTAATCAAAATCATTCTTTCAATAAATGGTGATATTACTGTCTTCAGCTTTGTGTCTTGACCTGCAAAGAGGGGATCAATGGTAACAACACTGGATGAGATCCTTCTACTCCAGGACAACAACCAAACTATCAAGGCCTCAGCTAACATACAAATGTTAGATGACCTACAATTGCCAGTATGTGTGTTCATGTATTAAATGGTGACGAATGGAGTTATCAGGATTGACATAGTTCTTGCAATATTTCTGTTCACTGTTGTAAGAATACTTCTACTTTCTTTGTATTTGTTGGTTAAATGTTTCTACACAAACTAATCAGACAAGTGACTGACCTGCTCCCCATCGTTGCTGTAGGGTACTGCAGTGATTGGAACCAGGGCCAGCTGTATCTCAATGGTATGAGATCCTTGATTGGGACTGTTAACCTGGGTCAGTCAGAGAGCTCTGGCTGACAGATATAAACAGGAGATTCAAGAGAGTCTCCTGATCCTAGGGACTGGCACTGAGCTGGCTCGTCAGAGCTCTTGTACAAACCACATGTAAATAAAGCGTGACTTGGTGACAGGATACTGGCCTCTGTGCAGTTATTTCAGGGACTATAGCTATCTCCCTCTCTTTCTCCAGTTGGTGTTAGCTTGTGTCAATCTGAAAGATCGTCAGCTGTTGCTCAATGGTTTGGTACATCACTCTCAAACACTAAGCACCTTCTGTGAGCTGTGTCTTGTCAATCTGTAACTGGGCCACTTCTTTCTAGGACGGCCAAGACTCCAATCAGAATGTGGTCTGAAGGTAAATTGTAGTTGGGTTCGTTGTGAGTGGGCAGAGCTTGTGTTTACTTTGAATTTTGCTTCTCTTGTGATTATTTGGAGTAGACAATGGTGAGTGAGGGGAGAAAAAACACTTTCTGATTCCAGCAGGCATCCAGGATCTTGACCTAAGTCTCAGTCTGGGTAGCTCAGACTGCCTGACATTTGGATTGAAGACAATCAGAATGTACAGGAAGTGGTCACCTTGAAGAAGTAGAAGAGGCCAAAGTTTCAGCAGTGAGTTTCCAGATTTCTGTGAAAGTTAACCCATCTGGACTCCTGATGCTAATGAATTAATCTGTAGAATGGGAATCAGATTTCAGTTTGGAAGCAGTTGGGCTAGGAGGAGATTTGGAGAAAGAATTTAGCTGTTGCTTTAAATCACCAATTGATGATTATAACATGAGGGCAGCAAAACACTCACAACAATTGTCAATATTGTTGTTACATTAATGAGATTTTACTTAATTTCCTTTGAAGAAGATTACTGAGAAGAACTCACCAAATGATGAAAGAGTAAAATTAAAATTAGCAATAGATAATATATCCTTCACATTCAGCACTGCCAATAATGAACAAACATATGAAGCAGGAACAGAAGTAGACCATTCAGTCCCTTGACCCTGTTCTGCTATTCAGTAAGGTCATAGCTGATCTATTTGTGTTTCAAATTCCATATTCCCATCTAACCTTAAATAACCCTTGATTCTGCAGCCTAGCAAGAATCTATTCAGGTCTGTCTTTAAAATGCTTAATCACCTATCTCCTTCATCGTTTGAAGCAGAGAGTTCTATAAGTCATAGAACAATCTGAGAGATACAATTTCACCTCATGGATGTCCTAAAAAGGTGATCTCTAATTTCTAAATAGTGCCCCTTAGTTCTGGACTCACCCAAAGAGGAAACGTCCTTTCTACATCTACCTTGTCAAGAGCACTCATGATTTTATACCCCTCATTTTACCACCTTAGCAAACACCAGTGGAAACAAGTCCAGTCTGTTCAATCTTTCCTTATAAGACAGCCCATTTATTCCAGGTATCAATTTTGTAAACCTCCTCTGAATCACCTCCAAAGCATTGGCATCTTTTCCTAAATAAGGAGTCCAAAACTGCACATTGTATTTGAGGTGTGGCCTCACCAATGCCCTGCATAACTGAAGCAGAACATCCTTACTTTTATGTTCACTTCCTTTCATGATAAAGGAAGCTCAAAGCTCAGAAGGTAGACTTCATTTTGTTGCAATTGATGGATAGCGTTGGGACTGAAAAGAATCACTTTTGAATAAAACATTTAATACCCAACTTTTGCCTAACTCAGTAATACAGCGGATAGAATTTAATGTTTATGGTGGTGGCTCTGTCCACCAGTTGGAGAGTATGCCTGGGCTATTTCAGGCCCTCAGATCTGCTTTGTTGATATTCGGACACTTACCCGATCAGTGTTGGGGCCCTTGCTGTTCTCTGCCTCTGCCAGCTGTACAGTTCTGACAGCACCAGCAGCACCCCCCACGGTGGCTACTGCTGGTACTACAGGAGGCCGAAACCACAGGCTTGTCACCAGAGCTTGCTGTGTCAGGGAAATGGTGGTGGGGAGTCAGGAACGTGTTGACGCCTCCGCCCTGCACCCACTTACCTAATTTAAATGGGCCTCTAGGGGCAGAATAAAATTCTGTTGTTGTGTGTATCTCAATGTGCATGTGAGGAACTGTGTAAGAACATCATCACAGGATTTAACCATTTAACCTTATGAGCCTGTTCACTTTGATCAAAGCTGACTTATGACCTAACTCCATTGATGGCTTTTGCAACATCTTCCTTAACACATTTGGTTAACAAAAAGCTTCACCACTTTGTCCTTGTAGAAGTGGTTTCTAAGTTCACTCCTAGCATATCTGGCTCTAGGTTTTGAACTATGTCATCTAGTCCTAGGCTCTGAAACCAGTGGAAGTAATTTTCCTCCGTCCACACTATCCATTCCCCTTAATATCGTGAAAATTTTGGTCCAATCAACCCTTAACCTTCTAAATGCCATTAGAATACACCCCTATTTTGTGTAATCTCTTCTGACAAATTAACCCTTGGAATCTTGGCATCATTCTGGCAAACCTGCACTGCATTCCTTCCAAGGCCAATGTAATCTGAAGGTGTGATACCCAGAACAGTTCATAATGACTTTAAATGTGACTTTACTGGAGCTTTGTGTAACTTTTTGTGATTATTTTCCGTCATGGTCCACGACATTTTAATTCCCCTCTGTATATGGAACCCCAAGGCCAGGATTTTAAGGGACAGTAAAAGGCTCTGTCCTTTAGTCAGCAAGTTAGGGGCATTACTGCCTCAGCTTGAAATGGGAGCCCTGACTGTATTTCTCATGCAGCGGCCATTTACAAGCCTATGGTCCGAGTTTTCGTTCCTTTTGAGACTCCCGAGACCTGCTGGTCAGTTGGAAGTCTGCTGGGACTGCAAAGGTCCAGACCCAGTTGCAATGCCCCAGAATGGAATATATGGGTAGAAAAAGCACTTTTGCATTGATTTTCTGTGTGTATTTTCATTCTTTTTGTATTTCTTATGAACTGTTTTGCACCTCTTGCTGTTCTTTGTATCTCTCCAAATCCCCATGATCTATCAGTTTTTACACCTGAACAATAGAATGGGAGTAACAGTGAGTGAATTGTTAGTTCAGTCTCCGATCCTGAGCACTACCCTTCCTTACTGAGTTGAAGCTTTCTTTTGCCCCTGAGCCCTTTCTTTTCTATCATCACAGATTCCCATCGTCAGCTCATTAATCAGAGCCACCTCCCCCCCATGGAATACAACTTTCTTTTCTCAAGATCAATATGTACATTTGTCGCTTCCTTGTCTAAGTTACATATTTCTGACAGAGCAACAGAACTGACTGACACTCTTGATACTGTTGACACATTATCGATCACCATGAGGCCTACCTGAATGAGGCTGGCTGCTGGGTTCCTTCTCTTCTCAAAATGTTTCTGGCGATGTTGCTCTTGAACTTTTAAAGCAAACCCTGAGCCAAGAATACCCTGCGATAAAAACCATGAAAACATATTGTTCATACCCAGTCTAACTGGTTTACATGTCCAATATGAGAAAAAGTTGAAGTATTATAATAGGCCCTTCCGGAGTCTTCTATTGCTGGAAAGATTCTGACAGCATCTCCTTTGAGCTCACCTCTGGATCTCTTTGATCATCTCTCTCTGCAATCTGTATTGTCCCAATGAAAGACTTCAGTTATCACACCTTTAATATGTTTCCCTTTCCTCACACCAGACAGTATTCCAATGGCTGTGCAAAGTCATAAAGTCATACAGCATGGAAACAGACCTTTCGGTCCAACTCGTCTGCGCCAAACAGACATCCCAATCTGACCTAGTCCTATTTGCTGGCATTTGGCTCATTTCCCTACTCTACCTTCTCCAAAGCTTTAGTATCTGTGCCTTAGTGTGGAATCCAGGAATGTACCTCACACAATGCATCAACTGTGATCTTATTTAATGAGGCTCTTCGTGTGGACTTTTAATGCTGTATATTTCACATGTTTCTATAAATCCTGACCAAATCCCACATGGGTAACTTGGAGTGCAGTGAGGGACTGAAACTGAGGAAGTATTCAGACTGCAGAACAGCCCTTACATCAATGTCTGTTGACAGATTCCTGAAACCTTCAAATTCTTCCTTCCTGCCAAAACTTTCTTCCAGCCTCTATATCAGGACAACCAGGGAAACTGCTTAGTGTTTTGGAAGTCCTTCTCTCCCAGATCTGGTGCTGTAAACAGGAGGGCACCAGCAACAAATGTGTCAATTCTGAGTCAAAGGAACAAAGTCCCCCAGTGATGGTTGGTCACTGATTGTTCCCAGTGCCTCAGGATATAAGTTCTATCCTGGAGAGTTCCTGGGATGGGAGCTGTGTCATGGATGTGCTCTGACGATGCCTGTTCATACGTGTGATTTGCATCTCAAGACATGCTTCCTGTTTACTTGATGAATGAAGTGGGTCTAGGCCCAAAACGTCAGCTTTCCTGCCCCTCTGATGCTGCTTGGCCTGCTGTGTTCATCCAGCTCCACACCGTGTTATCTGGGAAGCAATGGCTGCTGTGATTGGCTACAGAACCCTATACAATGACTGCCTTCCCTGATACCTTTCATCTGATGTTTTATGGCAGAAACGACCCGTTTCTTAGAGTCAGGTACAGAACTGGTTGATTATTTCTACCACTTGATGTTAATTAAGGGATTGGTTTGAATAAATAAAGTGGTCAATTTGGGTGAAAGTGGGGCCTTTATTGAGCAGGAGGTGCCCTGGTTGAGATGTGACTTCACAGCATTAACAGCCTGGTGGTAGGGTGTGAGGGATGTCCTATTCATTGAAGAGAGAGAAGGCACTCCCTCACGATAGCCAGTTACATCCAAATCCCAGCAGCACTCTGCCCCAAAACCAACTCATTCAGTCAGGGCTTTCCTTCCTTTCAGGCTGTGAGAAATGATGAATGTATTCTGTGAGGTGAGGAACACTGCAGCCGTGTATCCATGTTGGTGAGATGATGATGTGACCTTTGGGAAAATTACTTTCATTAAAACGCTGTGTTACTTAAGTAGAGATGCAGCACAAAGCTTTCAAGAATTACAAGGTCTGCCTTTGGTGATTAATGCTGTTTTGAAACGCCAATCTAATGCGCTTAGAAATAGTCTGCTGCATTGGCAACAAACCAGCTATTAAAAATATAACTACAATCCTTCCTTTGGTGTCCTGTGTTTTCCAATCCTTCTACAGCCTCCCCTCCCTTTCTCTCCAAGATTTTCTACTCTACAACCCCTTGAGGTCGCTGCATTCCCTAATTCTGGCCTCCAGAGCCATCCTGATTTTAACAGGTCCATCCTTAGACTTCTCCACTTCCCTACCTCTCTTCCTTTAAGACTTCACTTAAAACCTACCTCTTTCAGATTTTGGTCACCCTGCCTAATTATTGTCTTATTTGGAGTTGTGCTGTTTGATGAGACTCCTGTGATCAACACCCTTGACCATGTTTTTAACCATATTAACAATGTTATATGTTGTTCACCGATTCCTGCTCACTTTTCTACCCTGAATAATGGCACCTCTGGGGTGTTACAATTGAGAATGGGTAAATCCTTTCCCTCTGGCAGATCTGTTCTTGCAATTATCGGACCCCAGCAGATCACCGGCTTATTTCAGATAGAGTAGACGTCTCAACAACATCACAGGGCCTGCAGTTTACACAGCTTTTCTAAACTTGCATGTGGCTTGACTGTCTGAGAGATCCAAGGGGGTGGGAACAAACTCTCAGGAAGTTAACCCCATCCTGCTCAGTTTCCTCTGAGAGGGGAATTAAAATTGTCCCTCACGTTCAAAGTTTTAACAATCTGCCAGTTAGAATTTAAGAATTTGAAGAATTTAAAACACTTAACATTTAAGAATTAGAATTTAAAACGCTTTTACACATAGTGTCTGTGCTGAACTGTTTCAGGTAAAAAATATATGGACAATAGGAGGCTATTTGGTCTCTTACCTGTGACACTGTCAATTAGTTTAACTACACTAGAACTCCTTTCACACACGTTTGTTTCATGACAAATTGATATACTTGCTGAATGGAAATGTATTGGTTTTAGTCTTAAAATCTCTAATTATGCCCAGCATTACAATCTTTTGGGAAAGAGGAGTTCCACATTTCCACTTCCCTTTGACTGAGCAGTGCTTATGGATTTAAAACAGCCTGGCTCTAAAATGAAATGGAAGATTGGGTTTTTACCAGAGGAAATCATTTCTGTCTAAAATTTCTATCAAATTCTTTAATCATCTTTAAACTAATCAACTCACCTCCTAATCTTTGAAACTCATGTGGATACAAGTCATGTTTACACAATCTCTCTTCATAAAGTACTCCAATAATCGCGGGTTGGATTTGGTGAGTCTGCTTTGTTCTTTCACTAAGGTTAATATATCCGTCTGGATGTGCACTAAAGTTGTAATAATCAATGATGCTCATTGCTGATCACCATGTTGTGTTTGGTTTTAGAATGTTAACCACTGGCATCTTGTGAGTGGGTAAATTTGCTGCCACCAGTTGAGTCTTAACAAATTGAACAATATGTAGGTTATTGCATGATAGCAATCAGTTACAGGTTATGTTAGTTAGTTAGACATTGCAGCTAAAACTATAAGGAAAGGTTTGGATATGGGTCTTCTCTCCACAAGATGCTAATAGGTTGTGCTTTATCTGCAGCCAACCCTACCCAATATCATCAGATTGGATGGATCTTAATGCAGTCCCCAACATTAAGCTTTTTGGAACCGTGACCTTATATGACAGTGCAGAGTGGCTGAATGCTGAGCAATACTGTCTCTGTACTTCTCCCAGCACTAACCCTTGAAGAGTACTCATCATTAATCATGGATGTTTTCAGCTCAGTGCTGTGATAGGTACATTTTGAAGCATTGGATTACGTGTGTAAGAACTGCTTTCATTCTACGTGATTTGTGACTTTCTTTACCAGCTCACAGGTACTCACAGCGGGAAGAGCAAAGAAGGAGATTCCAAGGAGAGCAAAGCCAGCTGACAGCAGCCTCCCGAGCCATGTGGTGGGAGTCTTATCCCCATAACCGATGGTCGTCAGAGTGATCTACAGACAGAAACAAAGATTGTACATTACAGCCTGTCTGCATACATCTGCCTTCAGCTGTGACTCCCATTAGGCCAACAGCCCAGGCTCATCGGGCTGTGGGAATGTATCTGATACAATTTCACCTCTCCAACTCCCAATAGGTGCTGTATACACGGGAGGGCTGGGTGACTCAACGAAACATTTCATTACTGAGCTTGGATTTTCTGGTAGGATCAAATATTAGGGATAGTCAATGTGGGGTCCTGCTGTATCCCAGGATAATCACACCAGGTCAAGTATAAGGGACTGACATATGGAATCTTGCTGTCTTCCAGCACATTGGACAGAATCGAGTACTGGGGACAAACAGTGTAGTATCCTGCTGTACCCCTGGATTATCATACAGGTCAAGTATTGGGGTCGGATAGTGTGGGATCTTGCTGTGTGCCAGACCTATCCTAGAATTTCAGGGCCCTATGTGTTAGTCAAAGTTGCACTTCTCACATCTGCAATGGCTCACAGGTATAACACCTGATCAGGGTTTCAGATTGAGTATTGATCCTTTTACTTAGCACTTCACTCAATAAACTGCAATGAGGAACGGTGAGTATTCTGCATCTGGAAGACTTTTCCGCGACTTTCTTACTGTAAATCAAAGTCATTTTGATTGTTAGTGTTCCAAAGAGAAAGAGATGGTTTGGGGGCAGGAGAGAGAGAGATTGAGTGGGAGAGTAGACAGTGAAATAGATGTGGAAAGGGAATGTGAATGGGATAGAAAGTGTAAGGAAGAGACAGAGAGGGAGAGAGGTAGACTGAGTTGGAGAGAAGGAGAATGAGTGGGCGGGAGAGAGAGTGAGAGAAAGAGAGAGAAGGAGAGATTGAATGGGAGAGGGTGAAATATGTGGGTGAGAGAGAGTGGGAAAGAATGAGAGTGTGTGGGAGGGAGACCAAGGACAACACAGGAAACAGGACAGAGACTGAATGCAGGAGAGTAGGAGGGGGCAGAGTGAGCTAGATAGAGAAAGAAGAGAAAGTAGAGAGAGGAGATGGGGTGGAAGAGTTTGAGAGGGATGGAAGGCGGGAGGAGAAATTGTAAGAGAGAAGAGGTAGGAAGACAGTGTGGGGTGAGAGAATGGGAGAGAGAGAGTGGGTGCATGGCAAGTATTTGGGAAAAAGAGGAGAGAAAAAGTGCATAGGCGAGAGAGGGCAAAGATAGAAAAAAAGGGGAACAGACAGGGAAGGGAGAGAAGAGAGAAAGAGAAGAGTGGGACATATAGATGCAATAAGAGATAGGCAGTGGGAGAGTAATAGCAACGGCAGAGAAGTAATGAAAGAGTAAAAGGAGAGAGAGCAAGTAGGAGAGAGAAAGAAAATAAGAGTGAGGAGGGAGAGAAAAGAAGTGATGAGGACAGGAGGAGAGAGAGTTGGAGAGAGAGGGAGAGAAACAAAGAGGAGAGGGAGGCTGAACACAAACACTGGTCTCTGCGATATTCCAATGGTGATTTGATTTATTGTCTCTTGGTTTGAACTATCCTGAGTTAATCTCTCCCAAGCTGAAAGGCAGTGCTGCGGTTCTACTCACTGTGCCCCACCACAGAGCATCGGCGTAAGTGGCGAACTCTGTGTTCGAATCCTTCTCTACCAAGTAAACAAGGAAGGAGGAGAAGATCAGCACCAGAAAGCCAATGTACCAAGCTGTAATCAGCTCCTGTCAGGAGGGAACACAACAATGCAAAGTCACAGTCTCCTGGTCTTGCCAAAACAAAAGCATTAAGACGAATTGTGAAACACACAAAGATCTTGGAAGGGGTGAGTTGGAACACTTTATTGCTCAGAGGCTTCATCCTATCAGAAGACTAACCGTCGTGATTAATCTCTATTGATGAGTCTACAACAGACTGTGCGAACTGAGGTAAACTGACGGAATATTTTGGGAACCAGATGTCCAAAGTCACCTGTTCCTCTCAGGCATGCTACACTCATCATGGTATAATGACTATTAACCAGCTTTAGTATGGAAGGGCAAAATGTTTCAGCACAGGCTTGGAGGACTGAAGGGCCTGTTCCTGTGCTATATTGTTCTTCGTTCTTAAACACTCCTTTACATTTGGAATGATGTGGAGGTGCTGGTGTTGGACTGGGGTGGACTAAGTCAGAAGTCACATGATACCAGGTTATAGTCCAATAGGCATAGTTTAAATCATGAGCTTTCAGAGTGCTGCTCCTTCGCCAGGTGAAGTGGAGGGAAGCACACAGACACAGAATACATAGGCAGAGAGATAATGGCAAGATAATTCCAGGTAATTAAGAGTCGTCAGCAGATAAGTACAAATAATTTGAATGGAGCATCGATAGACTGAATAACCAGTCTTTCCAGGTGATCAAAAGTGTCAAACAGTGTGAATAAACAGCTGAAGAGCAAGTGAAGGGATGACCTATGAACTGATTAATTAAGGCAGAGACCTACTTACAAATAATCAAAAATAAGATGGCGCTAGAGACAAACCAAATGGATAGAATAACATGATAGGATAGATTTGGTTTGTCTCTAGCACCATCTTATTCTTGATTATTTGTAAGTATCTCTCTGCCTTAATTAATCGGGATGTGGAGGTTCCTGTGTTGGAGTGGGGTAGACAAAGACAGGAGTCACACAACACCAGGTTATAATCTAACAGGTTTATTTGAAATCACATGCTATCAGACTGCTGCCCCCTTGTCAGGTGAAGTATTCCTTCAGTCTCCCAACATTCCATAGATTGATCATTCACTCACTCACTGAAATATCATTTCCCCAGATCAGTCTTAAACGTATCCACGTGAAGCACAGATTTTGTCCACTGTTTCTGTTGTTCTGAGACAGACTGTCACTGCCCACATTATCCAATCCCTTTTTAGAATCTCATAAACAGCAGTCTCCCTCTTTGAAGTCTTCCATTTGGCCGACCTCACATTGAGGCAGCCCTGCACAAGTCTTCACCGTCAGTCCCTCACACAAAATGGCCTTTGAATACAGACACTCCTCTAACCTTTGAACTGGTTGGTCACAGGGGAGAGCGAAGGTAGTTCAAGGGGAATTGGGTCAGTGAGATAAAGGTGGTGGCCTCATCAGTGATTGAGAAACCCCTGCTACAAGTTGGATGGACAGTAGTTGATGAGTCACAATTTACCCACCTTACTGTGTGCGTAAACCACAGACCCAAGCAGTTTCCAGGTGCCCCCTCGATGGTCCATTCTGACCATGCGGAGGATCTGTAGGAAGCGGAGACTTCGGAGCGCCGATGTGGCAAATATGTTCTGCTGGGTGCCAGCAGCGATGACTGCGATGGAAGCAATTAGTACGATGATGTCTGGAGAGACAGATGACAGAATGGTCAGCAACCACAACTCTTCAGATTTCTCTTCAAATTTCTCCTGCTTCCCATCCCAAAATGCTCGCACTTCCTCATCTCTCTCTCTCTGTCTCTGTCCTCTCAACCTAGACTTTCAAACACTGAAAGCAGCCTAACCATCCTTTCCTATGTTTAAACATCTCGATCAAATCACCCATTAGCTTTGTCGGTTCAAGAAAAAGCAGTTTGAACTTTTCAAGCCTTCCTTTGTGTTCTCTCAGATCTGGCAGCAGCTCAGTCAATCATCGCTGTACACATGTTATAGCTTGAATATCCATCCTACAGCATGAAGCCTATTACTGTACACACAGCTCTAACAGTGGTCAAGGTTTATCAGAGATTCACCATTACATTTTGACTTTGCATTGGGTACCCTTTCGGAGATGAGGCAGGAGAGCAGAGTCACGATACAAATCAGTCACTATCGCACTGAACGGTGGCACAGGCTTGATGAGCTGAATAATCTCCAGCTCCAATGCTGCCATCGAACCCAATATTCTACTGAACTTTACCTCTCTGTTTGCAACTGAACCTTCAGCTGCTGAGGTCCTAAGCACTGGAATTTCTTCCACACCTCTCTACCTTGCAGTCCTGTTTCTTGTGAACAAGAGTTTGACCAACTTTCCTGCTATCTCCATCAGTGAGTCATTCCAGTTACTTTGATGATGGCTGTGTGATGCTGCTCACCATGTTTCTGCGTATTTTGTTCCAAGTCTGGCTCAGGGTGGCACAGTGGCTCAGTGGTTAGCACTACTGCCTCACAGTGCCAGGGACCTGGGTTCGATTCCACCCTTGGGCAACTGTCTGTGCAGAGTTTGCACATTCTCCCCGTGTCTGTGTGGGTTTCCTCTGGGTGCTCCAGTTTCCTCCCACAGTCCAAAGATGTGCAGGTTAGGTGGATTGGCCATGCTAAATTGCCCCTAATGTTCAGGAATGTGGAGATTAGGGGGGTGGGTCAGTGTGGACTTGTTGGGCCGAAGGACCTGTTTCCACACTGTAGGGATTCTATGATCCATTTGGTGTGTGAAGCTGGAAAGTCAATGTGAGGGACACTACCACAGGGGCTGAATTCACTTCGCTTGTCAACACAATATTTTGTAACCGAAGTTACAGGTAGTGATCACGATGAATACTTGATCAATCACTTTCCTCACCTTATCTTCACTGCTCAAATATATCTTGGAATTGAAAGAGATCACAGGGTTAAGGAGATATCAAGACACAGAAGGATTATTTTAACAGCATTTTAAAATTTGAGGGGGAGATCAGCCTATTCAGAACAAGCCATTACAATCTGCTCCTTCACGAGAGCAATCCTTCACAATTCCTCAAAATATCGCAAACTTTAGTGCCAGATTTCATCAGCTGGCAATGTTACTCATTTTGTTCACCTGAAGAATCCATCTCACCGATTTACAACTGCAGAATGAGCTGGAGCTAACTGAATTCCCTGAGACAGTGATTAATTTTGTGTGTAACCCAAACTGATTTTTTAATTTGTCACATGGTGTGGTAGAGTTTCTGCAGCTTAATCAGCAGTTGCGTGAGGGAAGGAATGCCACCTGCTAGAGAATTTCATAGCGAAGATGATTTATTGGCAAGGATCTTCAGGTGCTGGGTACTGGGAAAAAGGAGGAAAAGTTTGATGTGGAAAGTCTTTCCCATCCCTGGCTGCCCCCATTTAACGCCTTGTATTGAGTAAAGTGGGAAACTTTCAGGTTTCATTGGCCACAGCCAGCACCAGCTCCAGCTCCATTTGTAGCTCACTGTCTTTGCATCAGATGGTCCTGAGGTCAAATCTCCCTCCAGGGCCTGAACATGAAACTTAAAGCTGGTGCTCCAGAGCATTACCAAGGGTGTGCTGTGCTGTGTTGAGCGTGCTATGTTTTGGAAGAGATTTCGAACTGAAGCCCATCCAGCCTGATGGGATGGATGTAAAAAAACTCCACTGTGACTGCTTCAAAGAAGAGCAGGAGAGTTATCCTTGTCAATATCCATCCCTCAGTCAATATCATGCACAGTCACTTATCTGGTCGTTATCATGTTACATTTTGCTGCAAGTTTGTGTTGCATTACTGGGTGGAACTTTACAATGGCTATTGGGGCCAATGTGGCTCTCCTGCCAAGGCCACTCAGCCTGGAGCTTGGAGTTGGAGAGGAAAGGCCTTGGAATGTTTGAAACTCTCTCGGTGACATGAAGGCTGGCAGAGACTGAGCAGGAACAAGCCTAGAGGAGTTGTCCAGAAAGAAGTATAGAATCCCTACAGTGTGGAAGCAGGCCATTTGGCCCATCAAGTCCACACTGACCTTCCAAAGAGCATCCCACCCAGACCCACACCCCCTATCCAATCTCTGAAATCCTGCATTCCCCATGGCTAATCCACCAAGCCTACAGATCCCTGGAAACTATGGGCAATTTAGCCAATCTTTGGACAGTGGGAGGAAACCAGAGCACCCGGAGGAAACCCATGCAGACACGGGGAGAATGTGCAAACTCCACACAGACAGTTGCCCAAGGGTGGAATCGAACCTGGGTCCCTGGTGTTGTGAGGCAGCAGTGCTAACAACTGAGCCACCATGCTGCCCACCTTGAAAGGCAAGAGACAACAGTATACCAAATGGATTGCACAGTCCACTTCACTCCCGCAGTACACAATTTCTTGGACTCTGACTAGTTTCTTTCAGCCACTCTCATTTACTTATATTTGATGAGCTGTTTCTCATTCTAGAAACAGATTTGAGAGGTTGGGGGATTAATGGTGGTAAAGGGCATAGGGAATGGACATGAGAAAAGCCCAAGAACTGGAGATGATGGGTGCATGGTGGAGGGGATAAAGCCCCAGGATATTTCAAAGGAAAATAGAGGCAAGGTCATGGACGAATTTAAACATGAAGATGAGAATTTAAAATTGGAGGCACTGGTGGACTGGGAAACAATGTAAGTCAGCAAGCACAGATTAGTTGGCAAATGGGACTTCATTTGAGCTGAGGAAAAGGTAACAGAATGGAGGTACTTTCCTGAAGGTGAAAGATGGAAAGCTGGTCAGGAGAAGATTGGAACAGACAAGGCTGGGTGTGATAAGGGAGCTAGGGACTGACATCCAAGTAATGTAAAGAATACAGAATTGGAAGCTTGGCTCAGAGTCAAACAGGACACCAAGGTATCTGATAATCTTGACCAATGGCCAAAGTGTACAGTGAAGTCTATGGTCAGGGCACAGAGACTGATGTGGTGGAGGTGGGTTCGGGGGGGATTTGAAATAATGGCTTAGCTCTTTCTGGTGAAGAATTGGAGAAATATCTTTGTTTTGAACAATCTGTGTAATGACACAAATATAATGAACAGGTCAGGAGGGATGGCAGGAGAGGTCAGGAGGGCCGAGACAGACATAGGTGTCACTATTATACATACGAAGGCCTCATTTTATTCTTGAATCATTTCGGTTCTGCACAGCTGAGCTTTGGACTATTCCCAAATCCCTCCTTATCTCTGGACTTGACTACTTCAATGTGCCACTGGCCTATGAATCAACTACCACCCTTCATAAATTTCAACTTATCTAAAAATCCGCCATCAATATCCTAATTCATACCAAATTCTGTTCATGCTTGTTGATCTATGCTAGCTTGGATCAGTGACAACAAACTCCCTTCCTTTATTTCAAATCCCTTCGTGGCCTCTCTCCTCCTTACCTCTGTGATTTTCTCCAAGCTTATTACCCTCCCAAATCTTTATGCTCTTACTGTTCTGGCTTTACTCTGTGATGAGCAGCCACACTGTCAGCTGCTGAGGCTCTTTCTGTTAGAATTCCCTCCATTACCCTCCCCAATTCTAAACTGCTTTTATCTTCCTTTAAGCTGCTCCTTAAAACCTTGGATCAAACTTCTGGTCATCGCTCCAAACACGTGTCCACGTGGTTCAATGTCAATTTTGTTTCGGTAATGTTTCTGTGAAATGCCTTTGGAGTTTTCAGTAAAGGTGCTATATAAGTGTAAAATGTTGTTCTGGATGACAAATAGGAGAAAGCAAGGATATGTCTTCGGGGGTACTTTGGAGATTTCGATGCAGAAATGGGAAAAGAAGCCACTGCAGATGATTCCCTGGTACCTTATGCATAGATAAAAGTAGAATCAGCTGAGAGTAGCCCCACACAGCAGGGCATCAGGGGAGAGATGTTGATAGTGCTATCTAACATATCAATGATGTGACTGGTTGCAGAGGGTGAGGAGGAATAGTTTACCACAGTCACAGTCACATTCTTTGTGGTAAACCTATTTTAAACACTTCAAACCTTGCCAATTATCCCTCCTAACTATATCAAGGAATATGACGTAAAACAAATATTCTATTTTGAAAAAAAAACTACATTCTAATATGCTGCCCAGTCTTGCCAGATTGTGACAGATTTTAAATTTGGTGATATGTAAATATTTTTCAACAAAACACTTTTTTGAGAGCAATTTGGAACCACATCAGCAACTGCACGCAAAGCAGTAACCCCAGGTGATAGTATGAATTGTGACTCTGATAAAGGCCATTTTAAGAGTGTACGATGTTGGAGTGTTTCACTGTGTTTGTGTGTGTGTGTGTGTGGAATGCAATACAGACAGTGAGCCCATTTATATTTCATATGCAGCTTGTGTGCTGTACCTTACTCCACAGCCTCATGGTCTGATGACCCCTTGGGAGAGATAGGCTCCAGCACATTTTAAATCACTGCCGATGTGAAAATGATGCATCTGCAATTTGAGAGAGATCTCACGCTGGACTGCAGGTTGCAACTATGCTTTGTGGCTTTTTATAATAAATAATTAATGTTGTTTTCCTATTCCTGGGTACCTGCCAGCTATTCCTCTGTGTGCTTAATTATTAATTCTTGAGATCTGCACAAGGCCAGCATTTATGGTCCTTCCTGTTGACTGGGTCAGTCTCGAATTTGATGCCATTGTCATAACAT